CTCCTTGAGCATTGACATCCGCACCGTTGTCAAGAAGCAGTCGCACGATCTCCGTCTCTCCTTTCGATGCGGCGGCCTGGAGAGCAGTCCCATATTCACCTCCTTCAGCATTGACATCCGCACCTTTGTCAAGAAGCAGTCGCACGATCTCCGTTATCCCCCTCCATGCTGCGGCCTGGAGGGCAGTCCCATAAATGCCTCCTTGAGCGTTGACATTCGCATCATTGTCAACAAGCAGTCGCACGATCTCCGTCTCTCCTTTCAATGCGGCGGCCTGAAGAGCAGTCCCGTATTCACCTCCTTCAGCATTGACATCTGCACCTTTGTCAAGAAGCAGCTGCACGATCTCCTTTATCCCCCTCCATGCGGCGGCCTGGAGAGCAGTCCCATACTGGCCTCCTTGAGCATTGGCGTCCGCACCTTTGTCAAGAAGCAGCCGTACGACCCCTGTGCTCCCCCCGCGTGCGGCGGCCTGGAGGGCGGTCCCATACTGGCCTCCTTGAGCGTTGACATTCGCACCATTGTCAAGAAGCAGTCGTACGATCTCCGTGTCTCCTTCCGATGCGGCAGCCTGAAGAGCAGTCCCATGTTCACCTCCTTCAGCATTGACATCCGCACCGTTGTCAACAAGCAGTCGCACGATCTCCGTCTCTCCTTCCGATGCGGCGGCCTGAAGAGCAGTCCCGTATTCGCCTCCTTCAGCATTGACATCCGCACCTTTGTCAAGAAGCAGCCGCACGATCTCCGTTATCCCCCTCCATGCGGCGGCCTGGAGAGCAGTGCCATACCAGCCTCCTTGAGCATTGACATCCGCACCGTTGTCAAGAAGCAGTCGCACGATCTCCGTCTCTCCTTTCAATGCGGCGGCCTGGAGAGCAGTCCCATATTCACCTCCTTGAGCGTTGATATCCACACCATTGTCAAGAAGCAGTCGCACGATCTCCATCTCCCCTCCCGATGCGGCGGCCTGGAGAGCAGTGCCATACCAGCCTCCTTGGCCTCCTTGAGCGTCGACATTCGCGCCAATGTCAAGAAGCAGTCGCACAATATCCGTCTCTCTTTCGATGCAGCAGCCTGAAGAGCAGTCCCATATTCACCTCCTTGAGCGTTGACATCCGCACCGTTGTCAAGAAGCAGTCGCACGATCTCCATCTCCCCTTTCGATGCGGCAGCCTGGAGAGCAGTCCCATACTGGCCTCCTTGAGCATTGACATCCGCACCGTTGTCAAGAAGCAGTCGCACGATCTCCGTCTCTCCTTTCGATGCGGCGGCCTGGAGAGCAGTCCCAT